AAAGTGCCTCGTATTGCTAGCTTTACATTGTCATTTATACTTAACTGATCTGGTCTCATCCAACTTCTGTTCGGCAGTAATTCACATATCATCATGGGCCAAACAGCTTCTGACCAGAGTGCCCAACAGGAGCCGCATGAGGCAGATGAAAATGTGACAGCTCCTTCCCTTAAAGACACCGACACCCACGAGGGTCTTCACCTAAGATTGCCCAGCCTTGCCTACATCTCTTGAACTGAAGTCACTGTGCCTCTCCCTAACGTATAAGACAGGCTTATTGTCAGCACACGCTCATTCATCCCGTGTCACTGTGAGGGCAATCCTCACAGACACTGACACTCAGGGCCGGCGTGTTCAGTCTCGCACTAACTCTGCGACTGCCTGGTCTTCCCCCAGACTAGATCATACGGCGTCACTACCTTCTTGCCTCCTCCCTTGTTTCTTTCTAAATAAAAACTTGCTTTGTTTCCCTTCTGCCAAAGCCTCCCTTCATGAGGCTGCTAATTCTACTTCCTGGTGCCGCCGGGGAGGTCCCCATCATTGATCTCAGAGCACATGTGGAAAGAAAATAATGGGTTTCAATGAGATGTTACCAGCTTTAAGAAGCTGTTGTTAATCTTCTGGAAATTTCTGACCTCTACAACTTACCCTCATTAAGCTTTCTTCTAAGTGTAATGTAGATCACATCGTTTCTCCGTTGTACTTGCCTCATCTCACAAGAAAGTAGCCATTTTCTGCGGTTTCCATCTCATTTGTTAGAATGCCTCTTCAGTATGTTCTGAAATGCGGGCATCTTTCTCAAGCTTTAGCCCTTCTTCCAGAGACGGAACACGCCGGACTGAGTGTAAGTGACAGGGAGGTTCTGGCGCTCCTCTCTACCACCTCTCCCCTTCAACCTGGCCCTCCCACCACCAAGCGACTAAAGAATAACCTTCTCTTCCTCATGAAAGCAGCCAAGGGCTTTCTAACATTCCTTACAAAGTCAACTTCTCCAGGCTGGTTACTAGGAGTGGGGCATAAAACTAACAGGCCAACCCCTAAATAAAGTGTCCTGTTAAGGCAATCCTTTGGCCCTACCAAAGAAGAGCCTTTTAAGATTTCCTGTAAGATCTATTAATAGTTACTTCCAAAAACTGCTTCAAGCTCACATAAAAGCACCAAGAAAGACATTTAAAGGAAACCATTAAGGTAACTCTGCTGAGAAAAACAAAAAACAAAAACTACTATTTTATGGTGCAATTTCCAACTTGCAGCACTGGCGGTTTGTTTTTGTGTACTAGTTATCGCCTTCCGCATCAAGAAGCAGAGGCCACCCTGGCTGGGTTGGCTCAGTGCATAGAGCGCCGGCCCCGGATTAGAGAGTCCCAGGTTCTATGCCAGTCAGGGGGATGTGCCTCGGTTACAGGTTCGATCTCTAGCCCTGGTCAGAATGGATGTGGGAGGCAACCAATCCATGTGTCTCTCTCACATAGATGTTTCTCTCTCAGTCTCTCCCCTCCCTTCCACTCTCTCTAAAACTCAATGGGAAAATCTCCTCGGGTGAGGATTAACAACAAAAGAACCAGAGAGGAACTCCCTCGTGTCAGAAGCCTGGATGCAGTCTGAGGATGCTTTAGTTCCAAAGAAGGATGCCCCAGCCCCTCCTCTCCTCCGTGTTAGCCCAGACCACACACGTGGCCCAAACCTCAGGAGTCTCCTCCCAGACACTCATGTTCCCAGCTCCCTCTCCAGAGAAACTGGATCTCAGTCCTCCAGCAGAGCCAACATACAGCCTCAGTTTCCCACCAGGACTGTGGCCTGCAGCCTGCATTCCCCGTAAGCATGGTCAGGCCGCAGGGCCAGAGCTCCGCCTCCGCCAGCTCGCAGAGCCTCCCGCGGCCCACATCAGCCCCGAGGCCGGACTTCTCACCCGCAGCCCTCTGCGGACACCCTTCGCCCTGACCGCCTGCCCCAATGAGGCCCACCGGCCTTCACTCTGGCATCACGTGCACAACTAACGGAGCTCACACTGCTTCCCGAGAGGGGCCCCTTTCAGCATCTGAGTACTTATTAGGAATTCGAACTATTTTGATGAGAGAGCAGTACTAAGATAGTAAGATTAGGGGGAAAACTCCCTTAAAGAAGTCCTTTCCAGCCTGGCCAGCCTGGCAGTGGTTAAGCCATAACCTAAGAACCAGGAGGTCACCCACACACTGGGGATCGAGCCCAGAACCCGTGCCCTGACCGGTGGGTGACCTCCTGGTTCTTAGGTTATGGCTTAACCACTGCCAGGCCGGCCAGGCTGGAAAGGACTTCTTTAAGGGAGTTTTCCCCCTAATCTTACTATCTTAGTGGGGCATGCAGAAGGCAGCCAATCAATGATTCTCTCTTATCACTGATGTTTCTTTCTCTCTCTCCCTCCCTCCTTCCCTCTCTTCTCAGAAATCAATAACAAATATATATTTTAAAAAATAATTTCTAAAAAAAAAAAAAAAAAAAAAAAAAGACTGAAAGTGAATCCAGTCAAACCTCTATTTTTTAGAGGATTCACCTGTGTCTGTGTAGTTCCTATTGCATCAAATCAGGAGGCACACAATGTACAGCCTTTCCACTCCCAGTGATTCTAGGAGTAAACAGTGCATTCAAAGTCTCTTCTCTCCAACATGAAGGAGTCTGGGCCTATTAGTGCAAAATCACTGCTGTCCAAAATAAGGCTTCGGCACGAAACAGCCAGCGCGCTCAGGGTGTACAGGTCAGAGTTACTCGTCTCAAAACACACCCAGCACACTCAGGGTGTACAGGTCAGAGTGACTTGTCTCAAAAAGGAAATAACAGATGGCATTCATTCACATCTTCAAGGAGAGGAAACCTCGCACCACCTTATCCTACAGTAATTTTTTGTTGTTGTTAATTCTTACTAGGATTTTTTTTTCATAGATTTTTTTTAAGAGAGAGAGTGGAAGGTGGAGTAGAGGGGGTGGGGAGGGGGAGGGAGAAAGGGAGAGATGAGGAAGGAGAAGGAGAAGGAGGAGGAGGAAAAAGAGGAGGAGGAAGAGAGCGGGAGGAAGGAGAGGGAGGGAAAAACACATGGATTGGTTGCCTCCCAACACACACACACACACACACACACACACACACACACACACACCCTGGGGCTGGGATTGAATCTACAACCTAGATCCCTGCACATGCCTATGCTCTACCCACTGAGCTGTGCCAGCCAGGGCAACCCCTCATAAATTTTATTCATCAATATTTCAAACAATCACTTAAAATTTTTTAAAGATGTAGAAGTTAAGAGTTTCAAAATCTAGTTCCAAACTTTTTACCATTCAGTATGTGTGCTGACTCAGTTACTGGTGTGCCCTATTGCCCATCTGAAAATGGAAATGTCACCAACTTCACCATACCATAAAGCCGCGGTGACCAACCTTTCGGACCTCACGGACTACCAGTTGGTGACCGCTGCCTTAAAGAACTATGGATGAAGGTAAAATGAAATATGAAAGTTAGATATGGCAGCCCTGGCCAGGTAGCTCAGCGTCATCCTAATAAGCCAAGGTTGTGGGTTCAATCCCAAGCAAGTCAGGACACATACAAGAATCAATCAATGAATGCATAAATAAGTGGAACAACAAATCAATGTTATTTCTCTCTCAAAATCAATAAATAAATTTTTTTAAGTATGCCAAATAAAGATTTAGTCTCATGAGTGAGGTTAAATTTTATCCAGAATAAGAATTCAATAAACTAAAAGCTTGAAAAACCACCAAAAGTACAATAAACTAAATGCTTGAGAAGCTACTGCAATCTAAATTTGAAGAGATACTAGGAAAGAATTAAACGAAATTGCCACTTGTCTGTATCCAATATACTACTATTCTAATAATTCACTTGCTTAAAACTGGCTGCAATAATTTGACTATTCCACTGAAAGCTACAATACACAAGCAGAAAAATCCTATCTAACATGGATCATGTTAAAACAAAGCAATCAAACCACAACACATGATTTGGGACCCACCCTCCAAGCTATCCAATTCCTTAAATACATGTTCATCTAAAACAGGAAAATGCACTGAGCTTAACCTTATTTACACCGTTTCCATCTACAAAAGTACACTCTTTATGCATTACATAACTTGAAAACCACTCAAGCATATACCGAAGAACTAACTCCTCCTACAAAGATTAAATTCAATCAATAATACTGTTCTGGGTATAGATGCTGTATAAAATATTCTGAGCATAAATGAGCTGTTACCAATTGAGACCTTGGAAAATTAAGCTTCTGACCAACTTCCCTCAACTCACCACCAAAGAAACCTTTTAACCAGACTTTGCATTTTGATGAAGGTTCTGGTTTAGTGACTCATCAACTGTCATTTTAGAAGACAAACATGAAAATTACAAAGCTTGGTTTTTATATTAAAAATACACAAGAGCTGAGCAGCTTTCCTTACACTGCCTCTCCAAGTTAGGTTTTCAGAACTTGTTCAGATATTTTCTTTTCTCTCTTCAACCGCTGGTGTTTCAAAGACTCACCGTAACATCATTCTCATACTTTGAAAACTGCTGACACAGACTAGTCAATTGTGCTAAATATTTCGTTTGTGTTATGCCCGGTCACTACAGTGCCACCATCTGAGCGAAAGAAAGCAGAGTAACTTTTTAAAGTAAAGCCTCAGTAACAGATATTTTCCTTTTAAAACCAATTTGCCAAGGAGGGAACTTCCTATTTAAGTGCAATTGGCAAACTCACGAGAAAGACCTCAAATAAAAAGATTCCGCTGGAATGAAACTGAATGAAGGGGATTACCCAAGAAGCTATTTCAACTTTTTTATAAATATCTCAAAGAGCAATTTTTAAAAGATACAGAAGAAAAGCCCAAGAGCAAGACACAAACTATCAGAGAGAGAAATTGTGTGTTCTAGCACAAGAGTTGGGGGAAGGAGAAAAATCTTTGAACAACAACAGGCTTAGATATTGAAATCTTAATTTTAAATATAGAAATTCTTACCTCCCACTGTAAGTGAGGCGGGATATTTCGTATCTGAAGTTTCCGAATCCTGCAGAAGAATTAAAATATTTAAAAAAACAAAAAACAAACAAAACACATATAAAAGCAAAAGACATTAATAGCCAACATGGCTATTTAAAAACGACTTGAATTATTAATGTTTTATTAACTAAAAGCCCATATATAGTCAGGAAACGCAGCCTAGGAAGGAAAGAGGAGAAAAGCTGGTCATGGGAACACTGAGACCATGTGGAGATCCAGCACATTAGACTGTGAGAGCTCATTTGTAAAGCCTCTACAACTGGCAGAGACAATGTCTGAAAACATTTCAACTGACAACTATCTTCTAAGTTTAAACCCTTCAGCCTCAAATTAAGCCCTGTAGGACGCAAAGCCTTAGCACAGAATGTTCTCAATCTGAGATTGCAGCCAAGGAGAGCAATTAAAAGGCAGAACTTGGGGAATGTGGATGGATGGTGGGGGGTGGTCATATACTTATTATCTTCACTATCCTTTAAAATTTAGTGCCTCTTTTCAATCATAAAAGAGAGCATTCAACTACAGTAGGAGTACACTGCTTGTAATTTGACAGCAACATAAATTCGTTCTTTTCATATTACAATAAATTATTGCAGATCTTTAAATATCATCTACGCTCATTACTGTGAAATTTAGATGTGTTGCTAGAACTTGTTCCTTATGTTAAGGAGCACATGTTACTATGAGTTTTAACATTTTGCTAACTGTATTTCAAAGTAATTGATTTCCTCATAATCCTATGTATTTTATTTTATGCATTTAAAAACATCCTAAGAGGTCTATATATTTCAGACTACCAAAAGAGTCCACAGTAGAAAAACATTAAAAACAAAAACAAAAAAAACACCTTAGTTCAATGCCCACATATGTAAAATGCATATATAGTAAACTCTGTATAATAATATCTATTACACACATCTACATTCCTTTTTCAACATTGTCAGAGAGAGGAAGAGGAGGAGGGGAGGGACAATAATCATATGAGATTTTAGCATAGATGCCACACACCAATCATCCCTGTAGAAGACAAAGAAATTTATGGTTAACTAGCTATTTTTATAAAAAACCCTGGCTGGCATGGCTCAATGGCTGAGCATGGACCTATGCACCAGGAGGTTCAGGGCACACCCCTCGGTTGCGGGCATGATGAGGGTGGGATGGGGAAGTCACGTAAGAGGCAGCCAGATTCTCTCTCATCTATGTCTCTCCCTCCTCCTCTCTGAAGTCAATAAAAATACATTTTTTAAAACAATAGACTAGCAGTTAGGCTTGACAACTCAAATGAAATAAATCATTTAACTTCTAGAATTAGAAGCATGTTAGTTTCCCTTTCCAGATCAAATGATCCACTTATTTTTAAGTTTCACAGTAAAACACCAGCTTAGACAAGATTCACAGTCTCGTCTTTATCCCTTCTACTTCTCCCAAAGCAGGAGAACAAATACTGCCAGAGGTACCACTACCCCTTAGGAAAGAAAGGCTAAAGAATATGTATATTGTTTGTAATCACAAAGAGGAAAGTCAGATGTATTCTTACATTATTTTTGAGACAATAAAATAAAGGAGCAATATACCAAAGAGACAGTGAGAGTGTCAATTTAAGGGGGGAAATACTTTAACCATCACTCAGTCTCAATTTAGGCATGAAATGCTAGTGTGAGATTTGTTTTTGGTTTTTTTTTAACTCATCTGCTAACTGTAGTAAAAGTTGCAGGATCTGTACTATAGCTCTGTTTTTATATAAGGTTTTATATTTTCCATGAAAACTTTAATACAAAGATTTCAAAACTGCTATATATTGCTTTAGTTAGCAGAAAAGTTACTGACATTATATAAATATTTACCCTGCGTAACCAAGGAAGTTAAGAATTACTACAGATATGCAAATACTAACCTCTTTAATCAAATTTCTGACCCAGTAAGAATTAGCAGCACAATCTTGAGAAACTTAGCATTTATTACCATTGGACTCATTCTTTTGGTATATACTAGCAAAATTTTTTTTCCCAAAAGTACCCATGTAAATGTACATACAGAGTTCTGGTCGATTAGCAGGTAATTATTCATATTATAAAAACAAATATCCACTTCACAGGACTCCCAATCAATCTTTAAATAGAATACGATCTTGTGTATATCATTACCCATGTTTCCCAATGCATTCTTCAAAGCGTACATCCAGCAGAGACCCGTGCACCTGGAGATCACCAGTTGGATTCCCAGTCAGGGTATGGACCCGAGTCAGGCTTAACCCCAGGGGGGACATGCAGGAGGCAACCTGTCAATGATTCTCTCTCAGCATTGATGTTTCTATTCCTTTCTCACTCTCTCTTCCTCTCTGACATCAACATTATCATCTGCTTCCCTTATGAGCTTTGAGGGTTGTTATATCTAGGTTTGATTCCAAATACTTGAGTTGGTAGAATTGATATTGCATTTGTTTCTACTCCATGGTTACCAAATCACTGAAGTTCAATTTAACTATCAGCAAAATAAGGTGTTTCACCTCCTCCTAAAACACACCAAGTAGTAGACAAAGGACACACTCCCTAAAAGCGGGTCTCAGGCTGTATTCAGAGCCTAGAGCAGGGCTCGGCACCTGGGAGGCACTCACTTATTACATCAAATCATAATATACAGAAGAAAAAGAAAAACAAGACTCACAGATCCCGCCATCCAGAAACAACTGACATTTCCAATGATTTTCTTAAAAATTATAAGGGAAGTGCCCTAGCCAGTGTCTTGGTTGAGCAACGCCAGGGCACTGAAGTTTTGCCAGTTTGATTCCAGGTCAGGCCCCATGCCCAATCCCGGGTCAAGGTGTGTGCAGGAGACAATAGATATCTCTCTCTCTCTCTCTCTCTCTCTCTCTCTCTCTCTCTCTCTCTCTCTACCTCTTGTTCTAAAATCAATTTTAAAAAATTAAAAATTACAAGGGGAGTGAAAACTGCCACATTTAAGTTTGAGAGCAAAAATCATTTAAAAAACATTTAATTACTGTGTTATTTTTAAAAAGAACCCCAACACAATCTTTTTATAAGTTAACCATATAGAATTTAAGAGTTTTCCCCTGGAGAGAAAAATGAGGCAAAGTCTGTTTAACATTGAAATATTAGTTACCATGAAAATTCAATACTAGTTATTTATTAAAAGCAATTTAAATTACAGGATAACGAGCGAACAGAAAAGCTCACAGACTCCAAAGGGCATCTTTAAGACCTTTATTAGTCAGTGAACTGATTTAAGTTAGCTTTAGAGCAATTTTCAGGTGGACACCACACTAGATAAGCTAATAAAATCTACCACCACATGCCCATACCAGCTTCAATGATCAAGTATGACCACCCAGTTTTCATTAGTATGCTTACACCTTACCAACTAGTCCCACTGTCATACTGAAGTACACCAGTAAATAGGCATAAAAAATAAGGACCTTGCACTAACCGGTTTGGCTCAGTGGATAGAGTGTTGGCCTGCGGACTCAAAGGTCCCGAATTCGATTCTGATCAAGGGCATGTCCCAGTAGGGGGTGTGCAGGAGGCAGTTGATCTATGTTTCTCACTCATTGATGTTTCTAATACTCTCTCCCTCATATTTTTTTATTGATTTTTTACAGAGAGGAAAGGGGGGGGAGTTTAGAAACATCGATGAGAGTCATCAATCAGCTGCCTCTTGCACACCCCCTACTGGGGATATGCCCGCAACCAAGGTACATGTCCTTGACCAGAATTGAACCCGGGACCCTTCAGTCCCCAAGCTGACGCTCTATTCATTGAGCCAAACCAATCTCGGCAATAAAATATACATTAAAAAAAAAAAAAATAAGAACCTTTTGGGTTTCAACTTTACTATACCATTGTTGCTCCTCAAAAGTAACAAAAATTCGTTGGTATCAGATATCCATTACGTTTATTTCCAATTGCCTGTAACTATCATTTTACAAATGGTTTGTTGATGTTGAGATCCCGCCAAGAGGCACACGGGTAGAGCTGATGTCTCTTTAGGTCTATTTGATACAAGAGTTTCCCTTCACTGTTCCCATCCCATTTATTTGGTGGTCCAGGTCATAAATCCTGTACAATTATTCATTCTGGATTTTATCCACTGCATCCTCTATCGTAATTGTTTACTATGTTGAATTTGATGCACAGTGACGTATAATTTTTTATATCACAAAGCATAAAACACTTATGAACCCACCTCACCAAATAGAGTAAGACAGCTCAAGTTACCCATGCTACTGCCTCCCAGAATGTAACCATCACCCCAACTTGTTCTCATGCCTTTTATTTCTAAGAATTAGAATCTCTTAATACAACACTAAGTAGACAAAATACTAAGATTAGTCCTTAAAGAGACCAAAACTTTACACTAAAAATCTAGTCAAACAACCACAATTTTTTTTTTTAAATTTACTATTGTTTTTTCAATCAGTATCCAAGGAAGACATACACATTGTACTTGGTTGATTATGACACTAGTCTCAATCTATACATTCCCCTTTTTTCCTTGCCACTTACTTAGAGGTGTAAAAAAAATAAAATAAAATAAAAAAATCCCTAATCTATCATTTGTCCTGTCTGGATTTTTTGCCAGTTAAACCCCCATCGTGGTGTTGAATATGTTCCTCTGTACCCCACACAAGTGGTAATTAACCTGAAGACTCCATTTGTTTTTTGCTGCTACTGTTTGGTTAAGTGAATCAATACCACGCCACAGGGGGTGTGTCCTACTCCATGGGGAGATCATGAGGAGATCCGTTTACCCCTGGGTGCCTTCCTAAAATGTTGCAATCCCTATGATCACTGCCTACACACATTCCATTCAGAGCTGAGAAGTGGTGTCTTCTGTGTTTAGGCTGAAGTTCTTCCATTAAGAACAACCTCCCTTATCCACTATTTGGATACCGGAAGCACAGGACGTGCAGTGACGGCAGGTAAGTACTGGATCCCCCACCTCTGCAGCAGCTTTGTGCCCCCTCTTCCCCTCGCCTCTGATTTCTCCCGCACA